TGGGGACACTTCTCCAGCAGTCTCTCGAAAGTAGTTGCCTTTGTGGGGCCTATACCACCTCGGATTCGCCTGTATCGGGCTTGCGATATGTGGTACTTCCTCTTCGCTTCCCGAAAGGAGAAACGACCCGATAGGATCTCGACATAGGCTTCTCACGATATCTTGGTTTCCGTGCACCCGCATCTTTCCTTTCTATATTGCTAAGTTTGCTAAGCAATTGCTAAGCATTTGCTAACTAAAACACTCGATAAGCCACGGGTTGGTGGGTTTTCAGCACGAGTTTGGTGTGTTTCGTTTCGGCCAGCTGTTTTTTCACTCGTCCCCGTTCTAGTTTGCTAGGAATCACGTCGTTTTCTCTCAAGCATTCCTCGAACGAATCCCTGTCCTTGCAGTGAAATAAGGCTACCCATCGCGTATATTCCCTGAGGTCTTTCAACACCGAGTTGAATTTCTGCGTTAGCACCCGAACGCTGTGTTTTGCGTGCCGGCCAGAAAACGCTAAATACGATAGCATGTCTCTCTTTTTTGTTATCTCTTTATTAGCGCTGCAGTCGTCCAGGATAAACAGCGTCGGCTCCCCTTTAAATTTGTTGTGATAAGCTTTCAACCAATCCTGCAGGCATGTTCCCGGGTTGACTTTGTGCACGTGCGGGTCCGTCATCACCCAAGATCTCCCAGTGTACGTTTTGTTGATGTGTAAAGTAGGGCAAATAATAACAATGTTATCGAACACGTCCCGGTAGTATCCTTCGAGCATGTCCAACACAAAAATGGTCTTCCCACAACCCGTCTAGCTGCACACAATAGTGCAGTGCAGATCACTAGGTAGATCAATAAATTGCTTGCACGAATCTTCTATTGTCTATATTAAGTTGCGCATCCAAAATCACGTACAAATATGAATTAAATTTGCCTTCTTTTTTAGATTTGTTTAGGATTTGGATGGTTATCCCCTCGCTGCCGTTGTCGACGCGGCGTCTGCTGCCATGCAACCGATCGTCGTTCGTGGATCGCATGTCCAACCACAGCACGTACTTTGTGGCCAGGTAATCCCCAATCTGCACGGAGGGTAGGTCAGGTTCTTTGACGACGTCGTTGACTTCCTGTGGGTATCGCTTGATGGTTGGTAGCTTTGTTATCACGTCCCATTGCTGGTGAGCCTTCATGCCTTGAATGAACAGTTAATTGGGCACGCCCTCGATGGTCACTTCCACTTTCCGGATTCCGGGGTTGAATAACTTTTCGCTGTCTCTTTCGAATGGTACATATTCCTCGACAGGAATAATCAAGATGCCTTTCATCGATCGCACCGGCACGTTCAAGTTGATGTTCCACAACATGTCGCTCTTCTCCCGTACGATCGTCCGGTGTCGCAGGACTCGGTCGTACAGGATGGACAGCTTTCCCGAGTATTGGTTGCGAACCTGCCGGGCCAGCTCCGGACTCGTGACCATGTCGAATTCCAGTGAGATGTTGTCGATGGTGTAACTACCGTCATCGGTTTTTGTATGCACGACTTTGCTATAGTCGTTAAACATGAGTATGTATTCCAGCCGATTGACCAGCGAGGCCTTATATAACGGCGCGTGTCAAGTGAGCAACTCGAAGTCGAGTGGCACGCAAAACCGGTTCCCGTACGCTTCGACAATGGCTCATTCGGACCCCGGATCTTGTCGAGCTGGTCTTGTGTTAAGCCGTACCCCGGATCAATATTCGGTTCTGTGAACAGATGTCTTGATACACGTCTTTATTGCGTTCCCATTTCCAGAGATCCATGTAACATGTTGCTGGCTTCGATGCCCAACACCTCATTGCTGTTGATGTGATGGTGGTTTTCTTGACGATGGCACGGCCGATGTTCCGCACGAGTTCGCGTTTGTCGTTGTAGGAAGTCAATGTGATGTTAAACGTTTCGGGAACGATAAGTTCATTCTCACCCAGGTTGGGGAATCGAACCAACAGTGTTTGGGTCTGATTTATCTTGCTCGGGTTGTTGGTGAGGTCACCGACACGACTTTGGCGCCGCGAGGCTCTCTTAATCTTCGGAAAGGATCTAACTTTCTTCCATATTGTGACATTGTTATATACATAAAATATGTACGTTTAATATAATTAATATAATGGGTGATATTTTCTGATGGATGATTTGGGCGGTGGTGCGCTCGATGATGGGGATTATGATGAAGACACTTCATTTACCAGCAGAGTCTTGAGCGACGAACTCATCAAACAAACTGCCAACGATTATTACAACTGTTTAAAATGAGATAAAAATTACGTCCAGCCGCCATACAGAAACTATTCCAAGTTTGTTATCGATAACAAGGGCTCGCTGCGATTGAGAGCGATTCAAAGATAGATCTCGTGAACACGCGAAAGAGAAGGCCTCTCGCTCTGTCGACGCTGGCTGGAAAACACGGTGTTAAATTTTTCCGGGACGAATTAAAAATGCGAGATAACGGTGGCGCACGACCAAAACAACTTCCACCCAAAGTAGTTCGTGATCTGCAAAACGTCAGGACCGAACTCAGCTATGTTGTGGACGTGCCCCAACGTGCCAAAGAAACGTTGGACAGCATCGATAAACTGTTGGACACGTATTGGAATGAGCCTTTGCCGGGCTTTGAATTTCCTGTTCGAGAACTGCGAGGGCTAGACAGGGCATTGTGAACCGTTCTTGGAGAACTCATGAACAACATGGCGAAACTGAAAGAAATTGACGACCACATCGCTCGCAAGAAAAGAAAACTCAGTATCGTGGACGATGAAGCCACGTAAAACATCATCGAAAAACGATTGCGCAACTTGCAAGACGAGAGACGGGCTTGATTGGAATCCGCTTCCTGGAATCGGAACAGCTTCCCAGATCAGCCACGTGGGGAAACCATCGATCGAGTCCTGACAAGATTCTGACAACTCTGTTCCGGGAACAAGGCATTACCATCGCCAGCGTTCTGATGGCATTGAGCTTCATCATATCGACCCTGGTCGTATTGCTGATTGGCGGCAGTGGCATACCAAACACCACCAACACCAGGTGGTGGCGACATCAGAGACTGGATAAAAACATCTGAAATCACTCCACGAAGCCCTGGCTAAACTTGCGTGGAAAGCCGCCCGGAAATCCTTCGGTAGGAATCCTGTGGTTGCTCGCAAACGGTCACGTGGTTCGCTGTTGGCAGCCATCGTCACCATGGCCGGGCTGGTGGCATCGCAGCCAAATTTTAACCAAATGGCAGACCCCGACAGCGATCCCACCCCACTAGCTTGTTTTACGATTGAGGTGTTCTTTATTTTCAGCCACCTTGCGTGGAGATAAGGGCTGTGGTGTGTTGAGCCCTGGTACGACTATGCCCGTTTCACCGGTACTCATGTGTGACATTGAAGACGTTGATATCTGGGTTGTTACCCAACTTATGATCGGTGGTGGCGATGACGATTTCGTTGTTGTAGCCCACCACTTTATGGATTCTCAGTTGCATGTTGCTTGGAGCCATGTGCAACCCCACGCCAAACACGTAGTCGACTTTCGACAGGGCGTATTCCATTATGTTTTGATAGCATTGGATGGCACTCGACAAATCGACCGAAGCGGAGATGGCATCCTCGATATTGGACACGAACTGTTTCTGCACATCGCACCCACGATGTTGGAACGCGTTTTCTTCTGCGCGCCCACCAGCGTCCACCATGCGTCCATTTTGGCACCCTTCGATGTCGAATAAACTTTTTCAAGCGTTTGGCACCGGCGCGGTAATCCTTGTGAACCCTTTCGTAATGATACGTGTTTGCTGGCTTCCGCGAGAGGCATGTTGTGAATGATGTGAATACCCAAACCATGGTTCGGGCCCGGCAAACACCAATCGACCGTCTTCTGATCTAGTTCGAAATTCATTGCAAATTCGTTCGTAATCCCATCGATCATACAGATTGTTGGCCGCGTTCCACCCTTTGTCCTGTGGAAGCGGAGCACTGATTTCTATGAGGTACGTCTGATCTGATAGTACACATGAAACTTGAACACAGACCGACTCAGCGGATCAGGCCGAGTGTGGCTCAATGTCAAGTCGCATCCAGTCGTTGCGCACCACACGGCGAAATTGAACTGATTCTGCCAGAACTGCATCGGGTTGTTAAACCAAGCATGTACCGTTTTTACATTCTTTACAGAAAACCCATAATTTTCAAACACATCGATGAATGGTGCTCTGAAAAGCAACCCAGCCGCTTCCACCACAATCGTCATGTGTGTGAAATCAGAACCCCTACGTTATCACTTTTAGAATAAAACACTCCCGGTTTGTACATGTTGAATTGTTATATAATGTAGAATATATACTTGTAATATGTACGTGACGCTTCCGGGAATAACGAGCAGTGAGGCCGTTCAACTGCTGCACACGATCGATAACACGTCTGGCCAACTCGAAGTCGCACTCTGCGATGTCACCTACCTCACACGATGGACCAACATCAATGACAGCAACAACAAGCTGTTCATCAGTGGCGTCCACAAATACGTAACCGACGGTTACTACAGCATATGCTCGCTAAGTGACGAAGTCTTCAAACCTGTGGGAGCCGAACTTAAAATGAATGATTCAAACGGCACAGTCGTGTTACCCAACAACGGAGTAAAGGCCTTGAAACTCAGCCAGCCATTGTCGAGAATGCTCGGGTTGCAGTCGGATGAAATAAAACCTACAACCAGCGTCACGGGTACGAAATTACCCAACCTCGTTCCGTACTGCGAACTGTGCATTCATCTCAATCAGCTGAGCACGACTGACAACATTCAAGGTGACTGCCCTTCCACGCTGCTGGGGGGCTGTACCGGTGAAAACAGAAAAGTATAACGATGGCAGAATCGAATCATTTTCATCGCGGCAGTACAAGAAATTAACGCGAGGCACCATCTCGGAAGTAAAAGTATCAGTTTTAGATATAAAGCATAATCCTGTGAATATAGGCTACCTCAGCGTAATGCTGCACATATGGCAATGACTAGCGCTCAAGGCCCCGGAACGACCATGTGGTTGAAAAAAGCGGTCTCCGACCTCGGGGACAGGTGCGGATTCGATGAACCCGGAATCGACGGCACACTGTATGCTTTGCAACTAAAAAACAACATTTACAAATGCGACGAAGTCCCCACCGTCGGCGGTGGCAGTAACTTAGGGGATATCGTCAATACCCCAGGAGCTGACAGCAACACTCGGTACGGCCTAGTCCGCAACGACGAGGACAAATGGACGATATACCCAGCGTTCGGTGGCAAACTGTTTGACTTAGACGACGTCGAGACCACGGTTGTCACCCGAAGTACAGCCTTTTTTTTTTGGTCTTCACCAACAACGACAAATGGGGTTTGGTACAATCTCGAGTCGGCTGGATTTTTAACATCTCCGGCTCTCCCTTCGTGTTCCCGGAAAACAGAGACCACTACCTAAACAAAGTCGTGAACAATGGATCGCTGCTCGTGGCTTATGTCCCTGCGCACAGAGGCACTGTGGTCGTCAAAGTCATGTCGCGTCTTGATATACTCGCTCGCATACTCTCAAGTAAACCGGGGACACAAAACGTGGGATTGCAGGTGGTGTCTGAATTCGACAGCGTTGTCGACATCCTGGAAAATATATACTGGAGAATTTCGAGCTGATCATCAAAGTCTACCTCGGTGAACCACCATCATCACATGAAGTCGAAATCGTGAAAGGAATCAAACGCCGGTGGGCCAAACAACATCAATATCACATTTGTTTTGTTTACTTGGGGGTGAACGCCGATTCTCACACCAGTCTGCATGGAGTCACCATTACCATGGAAGACAATATATCATTCACCAAAATTTTCCTGCCCGACAACATACATCTCATGGGGTTGAAGTGCGCACCTGTGAAATTATCAGAAAAACAATTGGAAACTATTTTATAATATTTTTATATAGAGGATGAACAATCATCATCCCAACGTAATGCTTGGTGATCTAGGAGACACGGAGGGATTTGATCTGCCTGGTGATGAAAACGCCTTGTACAGTCCATTTGGCTCAAAAGCGGACTGACTAATTGCAATCTAACTCGAAAACTAATAAACATAACATACTCAATGAAACACTGATCATAACCAAAACATCATACCCACTCTGTGAGGTTTTTGCAGAATTATTGTCCTAAATATAATAAAGTTGTTAACAAACTATCATTAAAATATTGACACAGTTCACTGTTTGTTACGAGGGAGGAGTGCAGAGAAAGGGACAGCCGGTGTTCTAGAAGCACGTTCACAGACAAAGTTATTCATTCATTAACCTGTGCTGTGCCGTCTCCATCCATTCTCAAACACCTGGCTGTCCGTTTCTCTGCACTCCTCCCTCGTAACATCTAGTGAATTTAAGCTTTACAGAGGCTTTTGTCAGAAGTGATCTCGTACCGCTATTGTATATACTACTGCTGGAATTCTTCTGAGGCTGTATATGGGCCTGCTCACATCAAGTACACACTATCGGAGGGTGAAACAGATATCAACACAAGGGGATCAGTATGGAATGACACCGTTGATGTTTGCAGCACAGAATGCAGATATTGAAGTGTTTCACTTTCTTGTTGGGCAAGGAGCCGGCATGTCAATCACAAATTTTGCACAGGCGAACATCCTTCATTTGGCATGTGAGGGGGGAAACATTCAAATTGTGAAGTTTATACTCCAACAGAATGTGACAGATGTCAACAGCAGAACACAGGACGGGTCAACGCAATGGTAGCAGTGCGTGAGGGTCAAGGAGACGTGTTTAATTTGCTAGTGAGTAAAGGCGTTGATCTTACACTGTATGATGATAAGGGATCTACTGTTGTCCATCATGCCCTCAAGGTAGGAAATACCGAGGTCGTAAAATATTTATTCAAACACAACAGGATGGCCATAAACAAGAAAAACAAGAAGTCTACACCTCTAATGTATGCAGCAGTTAACGGGAACCTAGATTTGTTTAATTTCTTTGTCGACAAAGGCGCTAATTTGACAATCGACGGAACAATCCTTCACAAGGCATGCCGAGGAGGGAATATGGAAATAGTGAAACATGTTCTTGCACAAAACATTGATCTAATAAACAGCCTAAATGGTTGGGAGAGAACAGCAGCAATGGAAGCAGCAAATGCGGGTCATGGTGATGTATTCGATTTTCTGCTGGAGAAAGGAGCTGATCTGTTGTTAACTGATTTGGAAGATGCAAATGTCCTTCATTTGGCGTGTGAAGCAGGAAATGTGGATATTGTAAAGAATATCCTCAGAAAGCAAATTGAAACCATAAATGCCATAGACGATGAGGGCCTCTCACCAGCATTGCGGGCAGCATCAAGGGGACACAAAGAGATTTTTTTACTTGCTTATCAGCAAAGGTGCAACTATAAAGGAGGACCACCTTCATGTTGCATGTGAGGGCGGAAATGTGGATATAGTGAAGTATTTCCTAACACGATATAGTGAAGACATCAACAAAGGAGGAGAATTTGGATGGACACCCGCAATGTACGCAGCGCGTCATGGGCATAGAGAAGTGTTGCATTTGCTTGAAAGTGAAGGAGCAGATTTGACAAAAGAGAATGATGATCATGACAATATCTTCTATTTCGCCATCCTATCAGAAGATCCTGAAATAGTGAAATATATAGTCAAACATAATACTGTGGACATCAATAGAGAAAATGACGAGGGCATGACACCTGTCATGATAGCAGCAGATAACGGATTTAAAGAGGCGTTTCACTTGCTCGTAAGTAAAGGGGCTGATCTAACAAGAGTAAATGAAAAAAGGGAGAATATACTCCATCATGCTTGTCGTGGAAGAGGCATGGAGATAGTGGAATATATTCTGACTCGGAATATGGTGGAGGATATTGACACAAGAACAGGGACTGGAAAGACTCCACTAATGATTGCAGCATCAGAAGGCAACAAGGAAGTATTTGATTTACTTGTGAAGAAAGGAGCGAATCTGACACTTCTGGATGAGGATGACAAGAATATTCTTCACTTTGCTTCGGAAGGAGGAAATATTGAGACAGTTCAATTTATTCTCTCACAGCACATTCTGAGCATAAACAGCAGAGGCGACAACGGACAGACGGCAGTAATGACGGCGGCTAAAAATGGACATAGAGCAGTGTTTCACTTACTGATGGAAAATGGAGCAAACTCATCATTCATTGATACGAATGGCAAGGACATGCTATATTTGGCTTGTGATGGTGGTAATATAAACATCGCCAAATACATCATGACAGTTAATAAGGAGTTAGATACGACATTAAACAGATAGTTGAAGAAACATACATGGATAGTCCATTGAAAGAACTTGTACTCCAGTATGCAAAAACGTAACAACATATGCATATTGCTGAACAATCTTAGGAATTTAACTGACAAAATGTATATCCATCACGGCTTGTAAGTGAATAAACGTCTCCAATATCGTAATGTATATGCACGTAAAGCAATGCCCATTGTACGATCATCAGCTTGCTTTTATGACTAAAGATCTGCGTGATGACTTGTATGCAACCATTTTCCTTCAGTCATGGCAGCAAGTAAGGGATTAAATGTTCCTCGTACCTCAAGGTGGAATTCTGCAAAACCCAGGTGCCCTTCACTTCAGAAACTCTGGACTGAAAGGTTATCAGCTGTACTGTTCATGAATGTAGCCTACCCATTTCATCTGTTCTCAGACAAAATGGATAAAATTGTTGAGATAAATTTTACCTGCAAGTCCACCCATTAGGAATCTATGGTGAGTGAGTGAGTTTAGTTTTACCCTGCTTTTAGCAATATTCCAGCAATATCACGGCAGGGGACAACAGATATGGGCTCCACACATTGTAACCATGTGGGGAATCGAACCCGGGTCTTGGGCGTGAGGAATCTATGGTTTGATAATGAAAGCTTACGACATAAAGAATAGTCTTTGGGGAAAATGGGCCGATGAAATGCAACTACACGTTGCATGTTAATTTCCCATTTGCCTTGGCATGCCGAACATTTAAATAAAGTGAGTGAGTGAGTTACTATTTAACGTCACATCGGCAATATTTCAGCCATATCGTGACGAGAGCATATTTGACATTAAAATGGAATATGTGTACATTACAAACACCCGTCATGAAAGGACAGCAAAACAACTAGCATATCACATTTCATAAGGCATAAATCTAGGAGTGAATGAGCTAAGATATTGTGACCAGAATGAATTTTACAAGGAATATAAGTATACTGTAAACCAAGGACAGTCGTCGTCAAGGACAGTAAAATAACTAAAATACCAGAAGTTAGTTAAACTAATAGCACTATCCGGACAATATACAGTTAAACTAATAGCACTATCCGGACAATATATGATATAAAAAAAGGCTATACATCGCCAACAACTGACGGTAGATCACCATACTTGGGTTTGGATATTGTTTACCGCCTCCCTAAGCAATATTGCAGCTATGTGGCGACGATCTGTGTGTAGTCGAGTCTGGACCAGACAATCCTGTGATCAACCACATGTGCATCGATATACGCAATTGGGATACGATGACGTGCCAACCAAGTCAGCTAGTGAGTGAGTGAGTTAAAATATAAACTTTATAAAAAACAGTCACAAAAGGACAGTATGACGACTAGATTATCACAAATTAATTAAAACTAGCCTGAATTCAGTGTAAAATGTTAAATCATTTGAAAACAACACAATATAAAATCGGGCAATACATCGCCAGCAACCGAAGGAAAACCACCATATTAGGGACCATGGAGACCCACAGTGCCTTTGCTACCTGCATGGACCCTAGCAGGATTTACACCATCCCCTCAGACGCTGGCGATGGTATGGAAATTAAGCCATAATTTGAAATAAATATTCTAAGTTTAAAATGCATGGTTGAGCTAAATTGACTTTTGGGACTTTTTGGAAAGTTTTGGAACTTACGTATACATGATCAAGGAGTCTGACCACTCGATCCAGTTAGACGCCTTTAACGACAAGCATACATACATGCATACTAACATTTGTATAGTGCCGATATCCAGTTCAGCTCAGCTGCTCAAATGCGCTTTGTTTTTCCCTCGTTCACTGGATGTCAATCTCAACGGCAAATCGTATTGTCAATCTCAACTCCTTGGGGATCATACAACTCTTGCAGCCACTAGGCGCACTGAGTTATTGTGGCATTCCCATCCTTACGAGGTACTCATTCACAGCTGGGTGGACTGGGACACACAGTCACCAATTCTAACCCGGATCTTCGCGGGTAACCATACCGGGGTCATGTGGACTTACTTTTGCTACCTGCATGGGACCCTTGCTGGATTTACACCATTCCCTCAGGCATTGGCGATTGTGCATATATTTAGCCATTAATGAAAATAACTATAATGCTACGATTAAATCACTTGGTAAACATAATGTATTTCAAAACGGTACTGACATCCCAAGTAGGTGTAACAGACACCTGTTTTAGTTCCGTGTAATGTATTTATACCTACTTGGGAGTGACACTTCATCTGCATAAAGTCACGCATCTTTTCACGGGTTTAGAATCAGTGTATGTGATTGGAAGTGGTGTAAGAGATTTGTTGACTTCTGCTTTAGCAGCAATGGCTGTTTACGTGACCAATTTTTAATAGTCTGAAGGCACGAAACAGAACTATTGTAACGTCAATGCTGTCGCGTACAATCCTCTAAGGTGTTTTAAGTACAAAAGACGTTGTGATACTCAGTGGAGGGTAGGGAGCTCGGATGATAAAATCTGAGTGAGAGAGTATTTAAAGTCACATCGGCAGTATTCCAGCCATATGGTGACTAAGAAACTCCACCGACACAGGGTGCAACCAACAGCAAACAGGTTGCCTGATTCGGTCTTACGACCAGCAGTGGGGTGCTATGGATCTATATGCTATTAAGAGTTGAAGAGCTGAAGAGCTATTAGCGTTAACAAGCACCCACCAAGGGGAGGTTGCTCTTCAAGGGTGCCTGAAGAAATCTTAACACTAACAATGGCTTATGAAACCACCACAAAATAATCCAAACGTCCGCTTGTCAATGATCCTGTTGATAACGACCTCATGCTGCCCAAATCAATTAATTACTGGCCACGTTTTGTTGTCGTTAAAACAAAAGATAACACACCATTTATGTTAAACCCTTTCGCTGTGTCTAAGAGTATCCAAGGCATTGTCGGAAGAATGTGAAGAATATTACACGATTACGGTCGGGTGCGCTGGTGATTGAGTGACGTAAAAGACCAACCTGTTGAACAATGACCCTTTTGTTGGCATTCCAGTTTCTGTCACGGCTCGCAAGACAACACGGGCAAAGGAATCGTAAGAGATCGTGAACAATTCCTAGCAGACATGTAGGAACTTGATATCATTTCTGAGAAGAGAGATCAAGGTGTACTCTATGTCAAACTTTTCTCAACCCATACAAACAATAAAACCATTAAAACTAAAACCTATCTGTTTTCCTTTTCTTCATCTACTGCTCCTAAATTACTTAAGACTAGGTACTGTAATATCAATTTTGACACGTACTATCCCGAATCCTCTTAGGTGTTTCAAATGCCAACAGTTCGGCCATGGCGTGAAAACTTGCACAGTGTCTGTTGTGTGCGGTCACTGTGGTGAAACAACACACACACTCACCAGAAGATTGTGACAATTATGTCAAAAAGTACAACAACTGCGCAGGGGATCACCCATCTTTCTCTCAATATTGTCCTGTTTGGAAACAGTAAATGGCTGTCAATAATAAATTTTACCCAAAATCATTGCAGATGCAAAACAATGGTTGAAAACTCAGAACAAACATCCATTATCCAGAAAACAAATCTCACCTGTCACATATAATCAAACAGCAGAATCACTTCCTGCTACATCTCGAATTCAATCAGTCAGCTCCAGTACATAAACCATCTTCTCAGTCGACAACAAGGTTTCGACAAATCGTTAAAACCAAACGTAAAAGCTAGATTCTTCCAAAAACTTAGTGACAGAACCCCAAAAGGGTAAGAAAATATAATTCAATTATTCCACAAATATGGGTCACTTGAACTCATGGACGTGTCTGAAAATGTCCATTCTAGGGCATATAGAAGATCTCCAATAAATCCCTGAGGATCTGCACAACTCTCTAGCGGACATAAATATTGCGGGCATTGATTCCACTGATGCCAAAGCTGTAGCATACAATAATACTTTGTCCGAGGTCGTCGATCAGCATGCACCACGGAGGTCTTCCACCATAGTTATTAGACCTGCCTGGATGACCGATGACATTCTCAAAAGAGATGGCACTCTATTGGACTGGTTGTACATAGACAACTGTTTCTAGCCTGTAGACATAGCACCAACTTCCTTGTACATAAGTCCAAATTGCCTCACGTGAAAAAGCAAATAGTCGACAACAACAAAAACACTAAAAAGCGGTACAGGATTGTTAATCTCCCAAAGAAACAAAGGCTGATACAAATATGAAACTTAGGTTGAGTCTGTCAAAAGCTGGGAGGGTGAATCATATATATTTCAACCATGACAGAGCTCGATGCCTGTCTGACATGACTGAAGAACAAATTGTCAAGGAACTCTGTCAGCAATCCGTCACAGCCGTAAAACGATTCACCCTCAAAAAGGATGGTGTTGTTCAACCAACGAACACCTATCTCTTCACATTCGCGCGAGCAAACATCCCTGACTCGATTAAAGCTGGTTATTGTAGCATTGGTGTGGAGGTGTATGTCCCCAATCCACTCCGGTGCTACAACTGCCAAAAGTTTGGACATGGATCCAAGTCCTGTCGTTCCTCTGCTGTTTGTTACTGCTGTGGTGACAAGCATGAGGGCAACGACTGTACTAAGGAAGTGAAGTGCACAAACTGCGGTGGTAACCATATGGCCCCTTCCAAGTTCTGTCCAGTATGGAAACGCGAATCCGAGATCCTAAAGATCAAGCACAAAGAAAATATCTCCTTTCACGAAGCAAAGAAGAGGGTTGCAAGTTTAACTGCAGCCCCTTCAACCATCACCTACTCTTCAGCTGTCTCCCGTCCTACTATCACTACTGCAACCATCTCATGTCAAACCGACCTGACATGGATCATGTCTTCTCAGCCAACTGAACTCAACACAACTGAGCCCATCTCAGCAACTCCATCTCCAACGCCAAGAGTCAAAACTTCTGAATCACAAACACCAGAGCAAATGCCAAAACCAGAGACAGAAACTGCGCGCAGAAAAAGGGGAAAAAAGAGTCTAGAGACACTAAAGCAACTCGAACAACCGC